TCCCTGTTCCAACTACTTCTGCCATTAGATCACTATCTCCTCCTTTAATACCCACTGCTAATTGCATTTGTTTATTTTCCACACATAATGCATGATGTGGTCATTTCGGCAATACTTTACTCCTATTGTCTGATTGCATGGAATTTTTTATAAGTCATGTTTTTGCTATAATTTCACTCTTTTATTGTTATTTACCAATATCTACATGTTTCATCCTTAAATTCTCCAGGAGATTATTAATGTGGCAATCTTTAGTTTATTTCTCATAAATTCTCAATTTTCTTACCCCAAATTTTCCATTAACCAAATATTGATTTCTTCAGGATGATTGCAGCGCTATGTACAGGGCTGTCTTCCAGCATTTGGCTTACCTTTGTATCTAGTGAAAGGCATCACAGTTTGAACACAAAGCCTACTGTCTGCTCAAAATGTCTTCTGGCCAGTATTAGAATAGCGTGTGCCCAACTTGGCTGTTGCTAAAATAGCTGCTCACCTATTGACTGACTGGCGCCCTCTGGTGGTAAGAGGAGCTGTAGTGTCTCCTGGCTCCTCTGTTCATTTTGTATGGGCTTGATTCTTCCTTTACCTTCCCCTCCTTTATTTTTCCTTTTTCTTTCTTTTTCTTTTCCTGTCTTCTTTTTTAACACCTTGTACTCAATGCTCATTTAGGCCTATACAAAGGAATCTAACTCAAGGATGACAGTGTTGACATGACTTGTGACATAGGTTTGATTTAGTCACAAGAAAATATCATTGATACTTGCAAGAGGATGTTGAGCACCCATTTGATGTTTGTAATTATAATAAAAAGAAAAACAAAAACAAAAACAAAAAACATGAGCATGAATGCATGCTGAGAGATTTTGCTCCACCAGAAGAAAATATTCATTCAATATTATAATTGATAATTGAGAACTAAGGACAGCTGACCTAAGGGTCAAATAACACCTTTTAAAGATAACATAAATTTCATTATATCTAAAGTTAAAGACGGACAATGATGACCACTGAAATTCCTCTCTACTCAGCAAATTTTGAGTCTTGTGTGTGAATACAAGTGTTTCTAAAAAGAAACTTTTTTTTTACTCTATGAGGAGCAAATTACTGCTCCTGGAGTTATCATAGATATATTCTGAGTTCCAGAAAAGGACCTACATAAAAATAAGAAATTGAATTAAATTTGGTTGAAATTAAACTATCATTATTCTTTTCATCAAACTTAATTTCTTCTGTAATATTTACTCTGCCTTCATAGGTTTGTAAGTACTCATCAATTCAAGTTTAAAGTCCAGAAATTACCAATAACATCTAATTGATAAGTAAAATGAAAAAGGCTCTCATTCAAGCCTTGGATAAAACAAGAACTGTAACAATTATCCGCAACACAGAAATACTATGTGGTAAGAGCAAAAGCGAAAATAAAGGGTAGAATCATTTTACGTGCTGGAATATATAAGAAACTAGAGAAATACCTAGGTCTGTTAAATAGAACTGCAATAACTTTTCTATTTCTTTTTTTTTTTTTTTTTTTTTTGTCTTTTTCCATGTCCGGCAACGGTTCGCAACCCTCAGTGTCGCCCCCGTACCGGACCGGGACCGGCAACGGGATCGCAACCCTCGGCGTTGCCCCCGCGCCTCGCTCAGCCAGTGAGCGGGAACCGGTCTGTATGTGGGATCCGAACCCTCGACGGGAGTGCCACCGCGCTTCCCAAGCGGCACACTAGCGCAGTGTGCCACTGGGCCAGCCCATAACTTTTCTATTTCTACTCTTGCCCCTCTGGAGTCAATTCTCCCTGACTCAGCCTGAGGGATCCTTTAAAAACATAAGTCGGGCCATGACAATCTCTTGCTCCCAGCCATTCTTGGCTTATATCAAAGTCCTCACCATGGCCTACAAGGTTGTACGTAAGCTAACGGTCACTGCCTTCCCAAAAGCATTTCCTACCAGTATCCTTGTGACTTAGTAATGTTTAACTAAAATTAGAATAATATAATAAGCCCTCAAATATCTACATTCTGGAACAAGCCAAGTGTGCTCCTCCTTAAGGACTTCTTCTTTGCTGTTCCCTCTACTTGGAACGCTCTCCCTCCCAGATGCTTACTTGATCTGTTTCTTTATTTCAGACAAATCAGCTTCAGTTAGTGTCCCCGCAGGAAACAGAACCCACCTCAGACCTTCATATGAAGAGAAATTCACGAAGGAACTTTTACAGAGGTGTGTTCAGAATTAAGAGACCAGAAGTGGCAGGGGGAGGGAACAGTGCTATTGCAGGCCAGTGAGAGCCAGAGCTGTAGGGGAGAGGCTGCCCAGCCAAAGCCATGCATAGGAGGAAGTAGAAAAGGGTAGGAGCAGAAAAGAGAAGAGAAGAAATACACTGAGCTGACCTTTCTCTCCTTCTCTCTTGGGTCTCCTATTGGTGCTGGCAGCAGAGAAACACAGGCAAGGCTGTCCTTATTAGTCAGCCTCCCTGGGCCACAGCAGGGCAGGGCAGGGCAGAGATTGGATCTGGTGGGCAAATGAAGAATGGCCAAGACAAGGACTCTAGTCAAAAGAGTCCTTGTCCTTTCATAAGAAAGATCTTCACTGATCAATATGTCTAAAACACTATCCCATGCACACTCTATTCCTTCGCCCAACTTCATTATGGCACGTATTATTACCTGACATTATATTGCATTGTTTACTTGCTCTCTCTCCCACTAAAATACAAGCTCTACAACGGCTGGGGTTTTGTCACTTGTATTCACTGCTGCATTCCTCCAATTTAAAACAGCTTCTGCTGCATAGTAAGAGTTCAATGTTTACTGAATGAATAAATGAATTTAATACTCCCATTGCTATTTGAAAGTATTCATGTTTCATTAAAATGAGAATAATACAATAAACTCTCAAATATCTGTAAGTGAATTATTCATTCGCTAGCCCCCTCTATACTCCAGTACCTTCTACATCCTAAAATATCTTTCTTCTTAACTTACCCTATAGAACAAAACAAAAACATTTAAATCAATTTAATATTGCTTTTATAATAAATATTTGTACATATATATACACACGTTATATTTCATAAAGCTTTCTTTCATACATTAAAATATAGAATAACAGAATCTCAGAACTGGAGGAAACATTAAACTCAATGAGCCTGTACTGCTCTCCCAGAACTCATGGAAATCTGATCCCCAGTGTGACAGTTAGAGTCACAGGGGTGGATGCCTCATGAATTGATTAGTGCTCTCCCTAGGTCAGGGAAGTAATGAGTGAGTTCTCACTCTATCAGTTCCCACAAGAGCTGGCGGTTTAAAAGACCCTGGTTCTCTCTCTCTCTCTCTTTCTCTGTTTCCTCTTCCCATGTGATCTGATTGTACTTGCCGTTGGCTGCCATTTTCCACCATGAGTAGAAGAAGGATAGGAGGAAGATGGCCAGATGCAAGTGTCCCAGAATCATAAGCCAAATGTACCTCTGTTCTTTATAAATTACCCAGTCACAGGTATTCTGTTATAGCAACACAAAACGGTCTAATACAGAGCTCAACCCTGTACTCAGTACATGGTCATTCTCTACAATGGTCCTAAATGGTAGGGAGTATAGAAGGAAAATAATACCTCCTCCAGACAGCATATGTTCAAAACAATTACCATTGTTTGCATGTGTTTTTAACCATGAAGGTTAAGAGGGAATGAGATTTTTTTTGTCATTCAAAATAGAGCAAGAATTAATAAAAATTGGAAAGTAATTTCTCCAATTTTAAATTAAAATTAAAGACAGTTTTTAACTGTCTTCCTAATCATTGCAATGATAGGGACTTGCTATCTCAAGAAATGGTAACTTTGAGCCATCTTATTATTATAAAGGTTTGGGTTTTGTTGGGTTTTTTTCCTTATGTTGAAAAACAAAACAAAACAAAAATAATTGTATCTTCTTTAAGTCATGCTTTCTTTCTTCCAGAACAATTACCCTCAGTTTATCAGACCAAACTTCATTTGTATCTTTTTTGGAAATGTTATCATCCTACCTGATTTCCTTTGGATATGGTCTAGTCCTCCAACTTTCCCTTTAAAGTCTAGACTCTAGAACATAATTCTTCAGCCTGGTTGTGGCCAATGCAGCATAATGGTTGTCTATCTCTTCCCCTTACCTGGACATTCTATTTTCATTAATGAAACTTAAAAGTACATTTTTAAAAGAACCAGCCCAAATGTCCATCATTGGATGAGTGGATACAGAAAATGTGGTATATCTACACAATGGAATACTACTCAGCTATAAAAAAGAATGAAATACTGCCATTTGAAATGACATGGATGGACCTAGAGAGAATTATATTAAGTGAAACAAGTCAGGCACAGAAAGAGAAATACCACATGTTCTCACTTATTGGTGGGAGCTAAAAATAAATAAATAAATTCACACACAAACACACACACACAAACGGGGGCGGGGGGAGAAGAAGACACAACAATCACAATTCCTTGAAGTTGACATGACAAGCATACAGAAAGGACATTGTTGGGTGGGAGGGGGAGGAGGGAGGGAGGCTTTGGTAATGGGCCACAATAATCAATCACATTGTCTATTGACAAAATAAATTTTTTTAAAAAATGAAAATAAAAAAATTAAAAATAAAATATATTTTATATGTTTCCAAAAAAAAAGTACATTTTAAAATTTTTTTGCCACAGCCACAATACATTATTGACCCACACTGATCTTTTTCTGTAAATGCTGCTCAATCATGTTTGTCAAAGCAATTGACAACTGTTCTTGTGCTTATTTTGTTATCTCAAAGGCCGTTTGGGTTTTCTGTAATGAAGGAACAAATGCTAACATAGGCATGATGGACTAATATGCTGACTGTCAAGAGACAGAATCCAGTCTATGGAAATTAGTCATACATATACCCAACAGTCCCAAGAATCTGTTCTTTCAAACATGTTAGCAATTAGGGCAGGATTTACTCTGCTCTGACATTCCACCAAATAACAGTCACTAAGGACTTACCTGTAGCTACTATGATAATATCTGCCAGCTGAGTATGGGTCTTCAATTGTTCTTTGGGGGTATATCTGTGAGCTATTGTCACAGTTGCATCACCTGGAATGCAGAAGAACTTCCATTAATGATTACTGAGCTTTTTCAAATTTTAACAATGCTCTAAATCTAGAGGAGTTTCATCTATCCTGAGTACAAAAGGTGCCCTAACATGATTAAATCACTTTGAGAGAAAAAGCTAGATAAGGAAATCTAAATAAATAGAAATATTGTATTCTCCAACTAAATAAATGGAAAATTAAATGAGGCCAAATAAGGGTAAATGCTGATTATCATAGGAGAGCTGTAAGTAGGGTCCTGGAAACTCAGGATTTAAAAAATTCTGTATTGACTGGTTAATATGTTGGTGTAGGGGACACTCATTGGCTTGTTAATGACAGATAAACAGATACTGAAAACGACAAGATATGTGCACTAAAAATGGGACAAAATATTGTGGAGCATAGGTGAGAGATTAATTCTGCCTTGAGGAGGTGTCTAGGAAGAGTTCCTAAAGGAGGCAATATGGTTTTTAGGTTTTAAAGCAGGAACAGGAGTATCCTAATGGAGGAAAGAAGAAAAGGGCATTCTGAGCTAAATGAATATCAGGAAAAAATAAACCAACTTTGAAATTATGTTTTTAGGAAATGGTGAAGAGGTCTACAATATAATAGGGAGTTTTCATATGAAAACTTTATAGTAGAGTGAGGGATGAATAAAGAGGTAAGCAGCGTGAGGGATTCAAATGCTTAAAGTGTGAGCCAACGAAGAGGACGGAGGGGAAGGTGGGGAGGAGGAACAGTCCTATAAGAATGTGGCTGTGTGAGACTATCTCTTCTTTTCTCCTGGGTGATGTGCAAATGCTACACAGTTAGCAAGAACAACTGCACATCTCCGTTTTAGAAAAACTAGAAAACATATTTTCCGCACGCTGCAAAAACATATTAGAGTTACCAAAAGCAGTAGTTAGCAGGTACCATGCAGGGAGAAAAGCAGCAAAGTACAAAGAATGACAAGATGGTCAGGAGTGGCAGATACCTGAAAATGACAGCAAAAAATGTACTTCCTGAAGATGAAGGTTTACGCCAGATTGCAAAAAACTACATCTTTCTTAATTACAGCAGAGAGAATAGGAATAAAGGCAGAAGAGCCTTCCTGGACCCTGTATAGTTCAGAGTAGCTGGTAACACAAAGACTCACACATTGGAGCCATTTCAATAGGAAGCAGTCTGGCTCTGTGAAACTGTATGCCAAAAAGTAAATTTTATTATATTCAAGTTTTGAAAAAGTAAATAAAAGGATACATTTAAAAAGTGGCAGAACCAAGAAAAAAACAAGACAAATGAAAAAAAATTAAAGAATTTACCAATATACCAATAAACTCAGTAAAAAATGTTGTCATAGAAAAGTTAAACATTATCATCAAACATTATACCAAAATTTTTAAAAATCAGAACTTAAGGTTATTAAAAACTGGAGGTAAAAGACTTGAATACATACAAATTGACCCATAATAGTCAAAACTGAGACTTTTTTTAGTAAAGTTCCTGGGTTTTAAATATTAAAAAAAATGAATCCTATGAGCAACCAGTTAAAAATTCAGATTTCTACATTTAATTCTAGAAAATAACAGAACAATGCCTACAAGGGACTCATGTAAAGAAAGTGGGAGTCAAGGATTTTATTACAGTCAAATCTACCTCCAAGATTAAAAGTTGGAAACAATTCTGAAAATGTAAGAACTCAGAGAATATTGTTCCCACCAGTCTTTCCTGAGGAACATGCTAAAAGATGCACTTTAATCAAAACATGTCTCAGAAAACTGGCAAAAGAACTGTTGGGGAATTTTAAGTGTATTTAATTACAGAACTAAGGCTTAAAAACAGTGTGAGGATTGGGGTGACAGTATGCTATGTTTTGAATGTGTGTGTCCTCCCAAACTGATGTTGAAATTTAATTGCCTTTGTAACAACAATAAGAGGTGAGGGCTTTGCCGTCATGAATGAAATAATGCTGTTATGATGGAAGTGGGTTCCTTATAAAAGGACAAGTTTGGCCCCATTCAGTCTTGCCCTTGTACTCTCTTGCTCTCTGCCTTCAACCATGGGATGATGCAGCGAGAAGGGCCTCATGAGATGTCGGCACCTTGATCTTGGACTTCTCAGCCTCCAGTACTGTGAGGAAATAAATTTCTCTTCTTGATAAATTACCCAGTCTGTGGTATTCTGTTATGGCAGCATAAAACAGACTAAGACTCAGACAATGTAAATGCTATTTGCTTTGACTATGTAGAAATGATGCAACTAAAAAAATTAGAATGGGAAGGGTAAAGATGAGAAAGTTTTCTGATTGACTAATATATATAATAAAGGGAATCAACAAATATTATTTAAAGCTGACCAACCAAGTAATAGAAGTATAAGAATATTTAAAAGTATAAGCACTATAGAAGATAATTTTTATTGGCAAATATCAGGTAGGAGACAAAAGAAATGGAATTGGGGAGGAAATGGAAATATTCCATCATTTCTTTTATTAGAATATCAATAGATACCATACAAAGAAATAAGGAATTAAGAGTACTATATGAGGGTACTTCAAAAAGTTCATGGAAAGGTTCATATTATCTTTCAATTCTATTTTCCACGAGTTCTTTGAAGTACCCTCTTATAATGTTGTAATTATTAAGATAACCAAATCAGAAAAAGCATACACACACACAAAAATGTACAAATTAAGACCATAAAAAAAAATTAAAGAAAATAATATAGTTCCGAATATATATATGGTCAGAACTATCGTGTGTGTGTGTGTGTGTGTGTGTGTGTATACATATATATTTTCTTCCCTTAAAAATCTCAATTGGCTTTATTGTGATTCTAGAATTGGGCAACATGTTGTTCCATAAACTAGAATAAGTGTTTCCATGAGCCAAACACAGAGATTGGTTTTACAGACAGAAAAAGGCTAAAGAAAGTGGTTACAATGAACAAAAAGCAAATTGGTCATTTCAAAGTTACTTTCCTTGAAAGGTGGTGACAGGAAGACAGAATAATAGGAAAATAACAACAGGTTACCTTAGGCTATCTCTTTTGCATAAGGATTAAAGCAGGGGGTACTTCATTATCATACCTATTGAAGATTTAAACTAGCCTGTTCAAGAAATTCCCTGTTATCTTTCTCTTGACTTCTCGTAAGGTCAAACCACAGCTTCAGTGACATGGAATTTAGCAGGGGTGACTTTATTTTGATTTTTAGTCTGGTCTTTTGGGACTTAGTGTAGAAATTTAGTTCAAAACAATGGCCTCCTATAATTTTTATTTAACAATTCCTCCCTTTTGGTCAGGCTCTTACTGAGGTGAGAGTGTGACTAAAATGAAGGACATTAGAACCACACTCAGTTACTACCATTCTGGGTTCCTGGTCTTGTTGGAAAAATACAAAAATAATTTTCTCATAAGCCTGTTTTGTCCTTGAAGTAATATTTTGTTTTTGAAACAATATTTGCTTGTTACACTAGTCTGTTCTCTAATCACTACCTGCATTTTTGGCTTCTGTAACAGAGCTGCTTACTTATCTGCCTAGATCACATGAATTCCAAGAAATGAAACTTACTGCTATGTTAGCCTTGTAAATATGTCACCTATAAAAGCTTTGTAAGACTTGAGCTCGGGGTCCAGATTTTCAAGAATTAGCTTGTCTGGTCCCACCAGCATAATAAATACCTGACTCTCCAACCCTCTGAGTGCCGACTGCTTGTCTGTTGAAGTCCATCTGTTTTGTAACAGTCTCAGCATGACATTCATAGTTAAGTTGTCCTTATTATCATGCATTTCTTGGCCTTTTGCCAGCCATATATATTTATCATAAAAATAAATATAAATATTTCTAAGTCATCTATTTAAAAGAACAATATTTTCAAATTGACACAAAGCAAAATGTAATTTTATACTATACTAATTCTATACAAGACAACATAAAAAAAGTTATTCAGAATTCAGAAATGTTAAAAACAAAATATGGGCAAACATATAGCAGAAAAATTACAAAAAAAGGATGATGCTTTTTATTGTCAAACAAGGAGAAATTCACATTAAATAGGACAAAAAGGTATACATTATAAAACAAAGCGGTGATTCACATGAAGATACGAAATAAATATTTAAGTAACAAAAAGAGAAATAGAATTCATAAAGCAGAAATTACAGAAGATACAAATATAAACAGAAACACACTGTATTTGCTAAGTTTAATTTACCTTTCTCAATTCATAACAGATCAAGGATTAAAAAATGTAAATAACATCATTAGTGTACATATCTGATTATAATATAGCAAACTCTGAAAATAGATAATATATTTTCTTTTTATGCACCCAAACACATGAACATTTTTTAATAATGGTATAATTTTGGCTATAAAGAAAGTTTTAATTATTACAAAAAAGTAAATAACTAGATAAACGATAAAGAATTTTCTTTGATCACAACCAAATGAGCTTATAATTATTGACAAAACCAGAACTAAAAAGGCCCTTCTATTTTAAGTTAAAAAAAAAAATCCTACTTTGAACAGTTCTTAGGTCAAAAGAAAACACAAAACAACATTGCAGAATGTCTAGAAATATTTACAATGAAAGCACTTCATATTCAATCTATAAAATAAATATAAAGCAATTTTTAGAGAAAAATTCATAAACCTAATTATACCAATAAAATAGAAATTAGAAAGAAAAAAGAATCAACCATTTAACTTAGATAAAGGATAATAAAATAAACAAAAATTATAAAAAGATTAATAAAAATAAAAGTTAAAATGCATTTGACAAATAAGTGAAAACTGGAATACTATTAGGAACATTCAGAGAATTCAATAAATTAGGCAAAAAAATGAATATATGGAAGTAAATAGCTTTCATATATAACAACATGTTAAAAGATATATTACTAGAAAAATCTCTATTATAATAGCAGTACAAAAGATACAATACTTAGAAATAAGCTTAACAAGAAACAAGCGAAGTGTAAGTGGTAAAAGAAAATCTCAAGAATAACACCAAAAGA